GACGCTGTAGCATGAATCATATTGCTGTAATCGGGCATCGTTTACTCGAGGTTTCTTGGAAATCGTAAGTACCAGCGGGTCCCCAACAGCCGCTCGGATTGTTTGTTTGAGGTTGTTTCCTCTAGCGCTTTAGCTCAATAGCGCAACCACACGTCAGTGGTAGCAGGCGAGCTTATTTAATGGCGTTTCACGCTCGTCAGGCTTTGCGACACTTTATACGCTTTTGGTGTGTCAGACCTCAGCCCGCCGCCCCCTGGTAGCACCGTCGCTGCTGGTCCGCGACTGCTTATTCGCCGGATGCTAGAGTCTACTTATTTAGCAGCTAACCTTCACTGAAAGTCTTTCCACTATCTGCTACCTGTGGACCCGAAATGTAGCCAGCAGCCAGGCCATTCTGAGGTAGATCTCTCGTGTATACCCCTGTGCTTCTTAAGCAAGAGCGGGACATGCGTTCAAAGGTCTACCAAGGGTCACTTTGCTGAACACTTAAGGTCGAGTGAATTTCGGACGTTTCATCAACATCGTCTTCAGCAACATGAATTATATTTACTACGAGCACAGTTACGTTGGGGCAGTACGGAAAGCAGAAGAGAGACTTGACGGTCTCCAACATTGTTAGTAGCTATTCAGGACAAAGTATGGGCTCCTGGAGACATGATCGCGAAGGACTGATTTATGGCGAAGGCTTCCCTTCCCACGTCTTCCAGAGACGTTTCGAAAACCGCCAGCCGCCTCACAGAACTTGGAATTAGCGGCGGGGATTCGCGCCCACTACCACGGTCTGAGTGCTTAGGACGTTATTTAGCCTTCTTGAGGTCTTGGTGAACAAGGTAAGAGCGCGGGGGCCTAATCCGCGTAGTTGGTAGAAAGGAATGTTCCAAGCCCTTGTAGACTGAAATTAATTCCGGGAGTGGGAAGTGTTGGAGTAGTGCACCTCACGATTTCCTGGTTCTTTGTGCCAGAACGTAATTCGTCCGTTTAAGGATTAGCAAGCCACTTTTGTCCGACCGAGCAGGCCGGCCGTGAGAAGGAGCACGCCCCACCCACCAGGTGGCCATGATACTGACTGCCATCCGCTACGAATAGTCTTCTATTGCGATCTAGTGTATTTGCCATAACCTATTTTACGGCTTCTGACGCTGGCTTTGATAGTCAGAAAAATGTGATACTTCAACGGGTGGACTCACCCAGGTTGTTAGATTCTTCGTGTTATAAAACATGCTATTGTCTACGTATCAGTAGCGCTGTTTCGCGATATATATATATTGTAACTGGGTGGTTTTCTTTTGCCTTATTATTGTAACCAATAGGACGTTTAATAGCCGTCACCCGCCTTAAAACATTCAACTGAAACTCTGCCAATGGGCCGGTATCTCGGTTATAATTTGCCAGCGGGTTTCAGGACCCAAGTTCTGTTGTCTGGTCCGGAGTATGGACTGAGTTGTCTTATTTTGACGAGTAATTCAGATACGGATAGTTCAACCACCCTTGTAACCACCCTTTGTCAGTACTTTGCATTTCTTTAAAAAAAACTTGGATCCCTGGCAGGGAACTATAGAGTGGTGCTCGGATGACTAACCTGTAAATAACCGCTTCCTTACAAATCTTAAGTAGGATGCATTTTCCAAATCTTCAATTTTTCGCGCGCCGGCCGTTGGTTCAGCGGGCGGTTGATGATGATGATGAAATACATAGGGGTCCTCGAAAGGCCAACGTGTACAATATGCCCCACCCATTCTACCCCTAAATCCAGGTGCCCTTATTGGGGTGGAGTGCGCGCGAAGCGCGCACTGTGCAGACCCCACGAGAGTTCC